CTGTAATGTCCATTGCTGGCAATGGAAACTTTTTGAGACCAATAACTTTGAGTTGTTTTGTCATCCTATGTCTGATCTAACTGGCTATAAGTTAAAACCATTCAATCCTTTACCTGAACAAAAAGAAAATTTGCAGCCTAATTGTGTTCTTTCTGGTTTTTCAATAAACTCTGCAGAAAATCAACTACAATGTCTTTTTTTAACAAGAAAACTGAATATTTGCTCTAGATCCATGTAACCTAAACCTACCAAACCTCCAATACAGCCTGTAAATGATCATAGCATCCGATCTACTCATAATATACACAACACGATTTGTACACACAGCCTCTAAAAGAATGATGCCCCTTTCTGCACATCCTCATCAACCAATGCATTACCACAGAAACAGCACAGATCCAAAACATGAATTCACCACAACAGTGCATCAGATCGGGGCAATCCTCAGAGTTCCTCTGAGTGCGTAATGCTCTCTGGCTCAGCGCTGCAAATGTAATTTTTTTTTAATTGTACAAGTGACAACTTTTTAACTTTTTGTGTGTGTGTGAATATTTAAAATGTATTACAATTAACTTTATTACAGGAACATAAAAAGGTACAGTATTGCAACATTTCAATCCACAATCACATGTTTTGGTTAGACAGCACAAGCAATGTGTGATAAAATGAGAGCACCACTGTGCAGAATCCACACTGCTTATCAAGGCCTGGACCAAGGCAAGTAGCTGCTAATTCTTTTACTCAGTCTATACCATCCTCAGCACTTAATAGTGCTTTACAGACTAGTACAACCCCATTTATTACACATTAGCCTGCAATCCATTCCTTCACCATCCAAGCACTTTTTTAAAACGTCAGTCATGTCGTCTAATACAAAACATGCGACATCTAGAAACTCTCTGTACAGAAGGTTGAACAGTATTTGCCTGCTTCGCACAGACCGCTATAAAGACCAGGACGCAAACCTCACCGAGCAGATCAGGTTGCCATAAAGAAAGATCGCAAGTGATTACCATACCCTTTGAATACAAACAAGCTTCACATACCATGGTTTATGAAAGCAAAACCATTTTCAAGTGTATTCAGTAAATATTAGTGATTTTAATTCTGTATGTATAAATATGAATGTAAACTATAAATGTATATAATGAGACAACAGCTTTTAGTAAGTGTAGACTTGCGAGCCAATTTCAACCTTGATATAAATCTATACTCTCCAGTGGTGTGATACCTAGGATGAATTTGGCCAGCATGTCCATTTACAGCAATGGAAAAAAAGCATGCAGCTTACTTCTGACTGAGACCTTGACTTTATTAAAAAAACCAGAACAAAACAAAAACCAACCTGTCATCCTATCAACACACTAAGGAGAATTGGTAAGTTTGCATTATATTCTATTTAGTTTTTAGAAAGTGGACTCAAATAAGTGGAGGAAGATTAATTTTTTTAAAATATTTATAGTTATTTTTCCTACTCCTTTAATTCCACTGTCCCACAAAAGTTATGTCAGTAACATTCACTACTGTAACTCTGCACATTGCAAGCTACAGGCAGAAGACTATAGGAAAAAGAAATGTGAGATTAATTTAGGAGATACTTAGAGAACATCACCCTCTGCTAATACAGAGATCAGGGACTATGATTATTTTTTCTCCCTAATTTCAGAGAATCATAGAATGGTATGGATTGGAATTAATTTTGGGAAACGCTCTGAAGATAAGGATGTAATCCAAATCCTACAGAACTGAACAGCTTATCAAAGAGAATGATATCAACTGTCCTTTTAACACTGAAGCTTACTAGGCCTATTTAATTTCTAACACAAGACAAAATGAGAGCACACACACTAAATCTACTTGCAGTACAGAATTCCATTCACCTCTGCATACATACATTTTCCATTGCTGAACTTGAGAGTGGCTACTGAAAGAATATTACCTATTGCCTGCTAGTTACGTAGTCTCCCTATATTTAGCAGTAGCTATGTGGCTGTGTGTTGCTCCACCATCTTCACGGGAGGCTGAAGATACACAACTGCTTAGACTTAGCATTAGACTTGGCCTGTAACTAAAATTATAGGAACAGACCTGAAAGCTTTATGCTGAGAATAATCTGTGTAACATACTGAACTGCACTTAAATCAGTAGTTCTCGTGATTTATGCCGGGAAAAAAATGACAAAGAGGCTTACAAGACTGGTTTTTGCAGTGGCCACATACTACTGCACCAAAAGACATGCTGCTCTTTGTGCCCTTAACTAAAAGACCATTTAAAGGCTGGTGAAAAAACAGTGATGAGCCACATGTTCTCCTAAAGCAGTGACAAAAGCAGCTATTATTACTGGAATCTACAGTGCATATTGGTCAGAAGAGGATGGAAGAGTTCCATTGTTAAAATTAAGGTCTATCCCCTCATCAGTGCTACAGTGGATGCAGTATACCCCAGTTAAAAGTTTATGATAACTTACGGCAACAAAAAGCAAAGCAGCTGAAGGAAACTGAATTAGCAAAGCTATTAATTATCTAAGAGATAATCTTGCATATGAGATTGTTATCTGCACACAGCTGGGATTTCCCACCACTGAGGTGAGGAAGCTTTAACTTCTTGCTAACTAATTCAGCTGGAGCTGCAGGGTGGTGCATAGGCCCAACTGCTATGTTCATTTGACCTACTAAACTAGGCACTTTTTGGTAGATTTAAATCATGCAAGGGACAGCAGTCTTCCAGCACCTTTCATCCTGTCCACCTCACAAAAGGGCAGGCACAGTCTCCAGCTATTCACAGAAAGGGATTTTCAGGCTGCTTAGCTTAGTTCAGCACAAGAAACTATGAGCAACATCTCCAGAGGTCTATATGCTTAAGACATACAGATTCATGTCTGATGTCCTCTCTTTAAGTACACTCAGGTCTTAAGAAGAAAGATGACGGGAAATTCTTATTTGGAAAATTTTAAGAAAAATACTTCCTGGGTTTTTTGTCTGCATAGGACCACATTTGCTACAAACAGTAAATATTATAAACCCCTTCACGTAATTGGGTTTTCTGGACTGTGACCTACAAATGAATGCTCATCTTTGAAATAAAGTAAGAAGGACTGGATTTGAAACTGAAGCGCTTAAATTGGTACCATATTGTCAAGTGGATTTCATCACGCAAAAGGATAACCAAGGCTCCTGCCACACTGCCTCAAGAAATGTCAGCTATGCCAGTGGATAGGACATGCTTTGTGCTGACCCCTAGAAGCCCTAGTACCCATGTAGTCGTAGAGAACAAACTGAGAAAATTATAGTGTCAGCTTCTAACACAATCTTTTGTTTCCCATAGCAACCTCCTCCTTAAGGAGAGCCCAACTATTCTGAAGAGGCTGACATGGCCTCGACAATTGAAATTGGGAACTGAACAGGGAAGTAGCAAAGCAAACTTCAGCTGGCTTAACACTGGACCTAAGCCAGACAAGCAGGCAGTGCAGATGCCATAACTATTGGTTTCTGGGCTTTCCCAGTAAACCTGCAAACTAGGACTGTACAGCATATCTGTACATGCTCAGTAGGAAT